AGCGACCCTATGTACAACAGCCCTAAACCCTGCTCTATCCTGTGCCAATCTCATTGCCTCTGACACACCCATCCTGATTACCGCAGTCACAGTCACTGAATCCACCTCATAGAGGGTCTTCCCCTCCTGCGCTGTCCCTCCACTCTACCCAGCATGATGTCCCTCTCTAAAGGCCTGTCTCTCCTTACAACATGTCCAGAGTATGTCAGGCGAAGCCCCAGAATCCTTACCTCCAAGGAGTAGCCTGGTTTAACCCTCTCAAGGATGAATTGGCAGTCCATGGGGGTTGATTACTTCCCTCATATCTAAAGGCTGCATACAGGAGAATGATCATTTCTTCTTTCTCTAAATATCAAGCCACGGTGACCCCTGACCACACTGGGTAGTCCATAAGAGTCTTAAACATTAATTTGGCCGCTGGGGAGGCAAGCATCTGCAGTGATGACAGAAGCTTTTCTGATCTTGATGGCCTTCTTTCCTTGGGCTTTTGTACTCAGATATTTAGTGTTCTGCTTTTCAGTTTGGTTTGTTTCTTACAGAGTTTCTGAAAACAAAATTCTTTAGGATTCATAGTGAAAAGAGTCTAAAAATCTTTCACCTTAACATATAAATTAGATTATACTTAGATTTATTTTTTTCTGTTTTAATAGTTTATGAGAATTTACAATCCAAAATTAAATCCAGTAAGTTTGTAAGAATTTTTCCTTGATTAGAAGAGAATAAATTTTCTAAAAAGAAGTAGGGTAGAATTCAGAGATTTTAAATAAAAGAATGGGAAAGAGAATAATCAAGAAGTAAAAAAAAAAAAATTACATTAAATAGTGTGGGGAATCCTAACCTTAGTATACCCTCGTTGGTATTCTGAGATGTATCAAACATATAGCCTTGTTTTCTAAATTTTAAGAAAGAAATGATAACTCTGCATTTTAAATGATAATTATTTGGATTTTTCTTGTGTGAATATTTAGAAATACTAGAATATAATTATTATTAGCAGTGATACAGAAATATTAGAATACAATTAATATTTGGAAATATTAGAATTTTTTTTTTTTTCAGTTAGATGGTATAAGGTAACTACTTCTTTACTTGTAAGATCATGAGGATACCTGGAAAGTTCAGACATGTTGTTGTTGTTATGTGCCGTCGAGTCACTTGCGACTCATAGCGACCGTATGTACAACAGCCCTAAACTCTGCTCTGTCCTGTGCCAGTCGCACTGTCTCCTATACACCCATCCCGATTATCCCAGTCACTGAATCAATCCACCTCATAGAGGGCCTTCCTCTCCTGCGCTGTCCCTCCACCCTCCCAAGCAGGATATCCCTCTCCAGGGACCGGTCCCTCCTCACAACATGTCCAAAGTATGTTAGACGGAGCCTCAGAATCTTTGCCTCCAAGGAGCCACCCAGTTTGAAATTTTTTGAATCCAACCTTTTTAAAAATCACATTAATAGAAAATAGGCAGTCTTAAATGGGGATTGACCATGTACATTTGCAATTGCAGTTTGCGTATATATGGTTTCTTGTTTTGTGCCATTGAGGCACCTATGACTCATGGTGACAGCTCTGAATCCTCTGTCGTGAGCCAGTCTCACTGTCTCTGACATATTTACCTTCGTTAGTCCAGTCACTATCAGTTTACTCCTATCAGGGGTCTTCCTCTCCTGATAAGTGATGTTTTTTTATATATATATATATATATGGCTGTATTATTTTTGTGAACATCAATTTTTTGTGAGACTATGCCCATTTTGTTTGTGGTGGAAGGTTTTCAATTTGTCAAAGGTGAATTCTCTGTTCACATAGAACAGAGCTCATGGGAAGGGATATGTAGACTTTGGAGTCAAAAAGACTCACATTTAAATCTTAGTTTTGCACTTTTATGCACGTAAAATGAGTTTGCTTAGAGCCCTAGTTGTATCATCTCCAAAATGTATACAGTAATTTTTAAGTCTAGGATGATTTCAGCTTTCCATAGAATACAGAACGAGGGTTGCAGAGTGGATTATATTTGGGTGTGGGGATGGGGGGAATTGTGTACCAATGAAGGAGTTTTTCTTTTGCTTTTCAAGGAGAAGAGTGAACAAGGGGGTGGGGCTGTGGTGGGCGGGGAGAAAAGTGCAACAATGAATGAATGGAAGTCTAAAATCTCTGTAGATGGTCATTGAAACTAAAAATAAATTTAAAAAAAATGTTGAGGGTAACCACTATTACCATTCTTCATTTAGGAACTTGACTATAGTAGTTGTTGACGGATTTTTGGTATTTTGCTTCTTTTATAAAATTTTAAGGGCAGAATTGTCCTTAAATGAAATTTAGAGGAGGAGAAATCAATCTGATTTGCATCCACTTTTTCAATGCCTGATCTTAAAAGTGATTTGTGTATCTCACTAAGCCTGTATATAATGGACTTGATAATGGACCCTAGCATATGTCCATAATCAAGTGGCTTTTAACAACCCAATTTAAGAAATTTTAAGTTAGGATTAATATTGTAGCATTGTTTTGTTGTATCCTGTTTTTCCATAAAGAGAGAAGTTACCACGACTAGAAACTCCTTCCTTCTTTATGTTTTCTGATACTTAGAATATGTCAGGGAGGAAAATAATCTTGTTTTAAATGGATATTCTTGTCAAACTTTTTGAGGAATAATTGTTTTAAAGTTTGAATAGTAGAATTGTGATATATATTGAAATTATGGTGGTTAACACATTTCCATTTGTGAAGCATTTCCTACTTGATTCAATTCCACAAAGATAAATACAGTAGGAGATTTTAACAGCTTAATTTACTAGTAAAGCTACGTAAATATTTGTAATTTGCTATTACGGTTATTGTTGGGTGATTTATTTCTGGCTTATTTCAGAAACTTGAGTTTTAACGCTAGTACAAAGAAGTGAAATTTAACTAAATGAGTAAAATTTTCTCAGTGTTTCTTTTGATCTGATTTTATTTTATATTGTTAGAATAGTTTTTTTTTATTTTTCATGAATATTTTTACTCATTTTCAGACAGTGAAAATGAATTGATTGTGGTTTTGTATTACAGGAGATTACCTGGGGCAATTGATGTTATTGGTCAGACTATAACTATCAGCAGAGTAGAAGGAAGAAGACGAGCAAATGAAAACAGCAACATACAGGTTGGTATTTAAAAACAGATTGTCATTCAAATTGAAAGATAGTTATCTATGTTCTATTTGTTATGTGCATAGTAAATATTTTTAGGTGTTACGAAAGTATTAAAATGGGGAGCCAGTCACTCCTATATTTATTACAAAAGGTATTCCCTTTTTAAATTATTACCTTTAGTTGTTTTTTTTTTTTGGTAAAAGTTCTTATTTTCCCTAAGTTCTTATTTTCATTATAAATGTTTTATATGTTTAAGAAATAAAATGTAAAAAAAATATTATTACAAAACCTTTAAAATCATTTCATGATAACGTCATTGTTTGCATTTATCATAATGTACCATTTCTGAGAGAAATATATTTTTTGTTTCAAGTGAAAAAAATTTAATGATACTGAGTTATGAAACATTTAGAAAATTCATTGACATTGAAATATGAGTTACTGTCTATGTTTGAATTGTACAGCTTAATGCATTGTCATCATTTATTACTTTAAAAAAAGCCCAAAATGTTTGAATTCTTACTACCTTTTGTAATTTAATCATGCTAAGAATTGAATCAATTTAAAGTCTTCTTAGCATCTAAAAATGTAAATTATTTTTCAGTGATGTAATCTTTTTTGTCCCTTCACTTTTACATTGCCATAATTTCCTAAATTAAATTTGTTACTTACTTAAAGAAATGCTTATGATCTGAAACATTTCAGAAGCTCCTATACTTAAATATTGGAAAAGCTAATTAAAAGCAGAATTATATATTTAAATTATATGTTTTCTTCAGGAAGAATTTGGGAGGTTTAAACAAAATATAAAATATGACCGTTTCTTATTTTTCTCAAACTTGTTTGCACATTGGGAGGAGCTTCTGCTCGTTTTTAGATGTTGGGTTCCTTGATATTGGAGGTCTTGTTAAGCTGCCTGTCTCTTATCTGTTTGTACAGATAAACATTTTCCAAACATGACAGTATTTATATTTGACTCTCCTGGCTGCTGTAATCTCTTAATGTGGTATCTTCAATTAGTTAGATAAAATTGACATTATCCTTCATATTTCTAAAAATGTTTGTTTAGAATTTTTTTTATTCATTTCTTTCTAGGCTTGGATATATACACTTTAAAAAGTATGTTTATACATAACACAAAGAACTATTGTCCCATTTAATAAATACATGTGAACAAAATTACTTTGTACATGTGAATTATATGAAATTAATTTAGTAAGTGAGTCTTGGACAAGAACATTTTCTCAACTCTGTTGGTTTACTGTGCTCTAATTTTAGGTTCTTTCTGAAAGATCTGCTACTGAAGTAGACAACAACTTTAGCAAACCACCTCCGTTTTTCCCACCAGGAGCGCCTCCCACCCACCTTCCACCTCCTCCATTTCTTCCTCCTCCTCCAACAGTCAGCACTGCTCCACCTCTGATTCCACCACCAGGTAAATAGTAAATGACATTTGATTTTTGAAAGGAAAAAAACCCCAGACTACCAAATTCATTTTAAGGATTTTTTTTTTTAATTTAGCAGTTCAAATACTTCAAAATAAGACCTTCTTTGACTATACTATATTTAAAGTCACAGATACGATGTATATGTTTACTCCACATTGGAACAAATGTAAAAACAAGAACATAAAAATAACCCAAGCTAAATTTGCTAATAAGATCTGTATGGATCCATGTTGAATAAATAAATATTTATTAATATCTTTAACAGTGTAAAAGTTAATTGTCAGAATTCAAGTACATTAAATATATGTGTGTGTATATACACGCATAAGCATAAATATTCTGTGAAAAGATTGAAATGAAAATATCAGCCTGGTGGTATTCATCCTTGTTTATATACTTGTCCCCTTTAGGAGACTATGAATGGGTGTCAAGAACTTGTTACTATCTTTTGAAAAAGAATACAGAAAATTTATGTACATTTTCACTACATTTTAAGCTACTTTTGATTATTTCAGTTTAAGTCATATTAGAGAACAAAACTAACAGAAAATACAAAAAAAATTTTCATTACATTTATACTTTCAACCTCTCATAAACTGACTTTTCTTTTTCTTGTATTCCCTTTAAATTTTCAGTATTTGTCCCTTAGCCAAAAGAGAAAAAAGTTTAAGGAACAGAATGAGAATAATTAAGATGAGAATTTTCTCTAAGGAAAAAAAAAATGCCAGTAATAAAGGATTATGTGTTACCATTAATATTAAAGAACAATTAGCTGTTATTTCTCATTAGAACCATACGTGCGGCATACTTTTATTAAGAAAATTTATAAGGAATAACTGTACACTCTCACTTTCGTCTGAATGAGAACTGTTTGCATTTAAAGTAGGAATTGGGAAAGAGGGCCTGATAAAGGCTCATTGTAGTCCTTCCCAATGGTATTCATCGATTACCCTAGAAGAGCAGTCCAGCCTCTGTCTCACATTCATGTTTCCTTTTAGTTACTCATTCCTTGCATAAAGATTTTTAAAAATTATTGTGGAAAATTTGGTGGGCTGTTTACAGAATCTTAGGTCTCAAAAATAGAGTAACAAATTAACTAGAAAACGTTTTAGTGGCTTTCTCCAGATAACATTATTTCTAAGATTCAGTTTCTTGTTTATAAGTTGGCATTGGGTCTGTGATTCTTGAGTCTTTAATATGCTGATAGTAAACCAAATGAAAGAGGAAAATAGAAAGGGCCAGAGTAATTAATGGGTTACTTATTCTCTGGAAAGGTGTTAAAATATAGACATTGTTAAATTTTTTCCCACACATTTGGCTAATGATATGAAAAGATGAATGGTTTATGTATTTTGTGCAAAAATGAAATAATCTTCAGATTGAAATGCTTTGTAATCTTAAACTTTACTGGGTATGTGATTTTAAAGAACTTGCTATTTGCTAGCTAATATATCTGCTAATGGCTAGCACTGACATATGTTTATATTAGATTGTTAATGAAGTAAATAGAAGAGAGCTGTTACTGAATTATTGGTGAAAAATTTTTTTCTTTTTCAGCATAGTAAAAGTATTTCTTTGCCGTGTAATCTCTATTTAAAAACATTTTTAAAAATCATCTTTAGATTACAAATGGCATTGCTCAGTATAATAACACTGATTGTGATAGAAACCTGTTTGTTGTTTTTATGTGCTGTCTAGTTGCCTGTGACTCATAGCGACCCTATTAGTACAACACCTCTGAATGAAGCCTGCCCTGTCCTGAGCCAGTGTCAGTGATTCCAATACACCAACTCCCATTGCTTCAGTTACTGTATCAATACATCTCATCAGGGGTTTTCTCTCCTGTGCTGTCCCTCCACTCTTCCAAGCATGATGTCCTTCTCCAAGGACCAGTCTCTCCTCGCCACATGCCCAAAGTATGTGAGATGGAGCTTCAAAATCCTAGCCTCCAAGGAGAAACTTGGTTTTACCCTCT